TTATATTTGATTTCTTTTCTGTTACCCATAGTTCGATTCCATATGTCCAAAGTGGTTTAATGAGGATTTCGTAAGTAGTTAATTTATTAGTCACAGATAATTTAGAACGTCTGGCAAGTAGACTAGAATGAAGTCCGTATCGCTGATTAAGTTCTTTTCTTTTTTGTTTTATGTGGTATGTCCAGATAGGTCCGAAATAGCTTTCGGTACCTGTGATATATATATATATATATATATATATATATATATATATATATATATATATATATATATATATATATATTATATATATATATATATATATATATATATATATATATATATATATATATATATATTCGTAAGCAAAATTTCTAAAGTAAAGATGTTCTGTTGCTAATAGTTGACAAAAATATTCTCCACTTACTACTCCAGAGTCAAAATATATCATAGAGATTAGAAAAAAAAAATTCTAATTTAAAATAGTATTACTAATGAATTATTATTATTGTTAATTGTAAAAATTTTGTTTACAAATGATGATCAGGATATTATTTTTATCACTTTTGATCAAAGACAATAACCGCTCTTAATGAAGTCCGTATCGCTGATTAAATTCTTTTATTTTTTGTTTTATGTGGTATGTCCATGTTAGTCGTTTGTCCGTATAATCATTTATTTTTGAAGTGAAAACTTCTTATGTGCGTTTTGCACTTATTTTGTGGAGAGTGATCAGATTGAACCGTCAGATCGCCGATGTGTTACGCTCGGGTAAAGTCGACTGGAGTCGACTAATTAAAGTTTTTTTTTGCATATGGATTAAAATATCTGAAAAACTAAAAATCTGGATATTGTTAGCGAGGAAAATTTTCATCGTTTCATCTCTTTGTAATGAGCTATTATTCAAAATCTTATCGTAACATGCCGCCGTGTTAGAGAAGGAAAAAGCTAAAAAATAGTGCCGAAAATTCAATGATAATGAGTTTTATTGAAGATATGGATTAAAATATCTCTGAAACTAAAAATCGGACTTGCATACTGTAAGCGAGGGAATTGTTCAGCATTTCATCCTCTTTATACTGAGATATCATTTGTAATTTATATTTCATATTAATTACTTCTTGTTAATGCTTTCACCTCTATCGTGAGTAAGAAGGTTCAACAGGTTTTTGAGGTTAAATAGCATATTTTTTTAAACCCACAGGTTCCGAGTTCGTAGCTCACTACTCGTCCAATTTTTTTTTTATAGTTAAATTTATTAAATTTATTTATTTTTATGGTTTTCGCTTTTTTCCAAATTCAACCAATTAAATAGCGTGGCGCCTGTTGGATACTTATTAATAATTAATTGACTCTTAATTATTTTTTTTTTGCGAACTCTACCCTCTCCACTGAGCATTCGGCAAGTTTGTTGCGGAAACAATTTTTCCAAATTAAAGACCATAACAAAGGAAACTTATTATTTACATGTTAAGTCCAACCTGTCCATCACATTTTTATGATATCACAGATATCTGATTAAGTCAATTTTTTTTAAAAAGAATTTTTACAAATTACCTTTGTAACGAATGTTTATAAGAGATCAGTTCAAGTTCAAAAGGTAATTACAAGGGCCAAGTTTAGAGTAATATCGATTAAGTAACCGCTTTGAGAACTGCATCCAGTTTGAGTTTGAAATTTGATGCAGTTATTAGACACTTCAATTAGATAATAGTTATTAAGTTTCGAATGTAATTTGAAACTTAGTTTGGAGTTTATCAGCGGTAATAACATCTCCCCACTCCCCCCTCCCGATATACCCAGAGAATATTCATATGGTTATCGGAAGGGAAGGGCTAGGATATGACTTACCATAACGTTCCAAAGCCGAAGTGGCTCAAAGACTAATATAGTTGGAGCAACATTATGCAAATTCCGAGAGAGGTATGTAACATACAATAATATGTACTCAATCAATACTCAATTTAAAAATAGTTTAAATATAGAATTTCGATCCAATTAAAACTTAAAATTCCTAATAGCTTATAACTTCCTTTATTATTTACTGTATTTGCAACTGCCATGTTGAGTATTCAGCAATTCTGATGTTTTTTTTAAAACTTGATTATGGCCTTGAATTGTGTTACTGGCGAAGCCGAAGATTTATTGGCCTCTTTATTTTTAACTCGCATTCAGGATTTGAAATAGATAATTATTTTTTTCACAATATCATGTATTAATTATTATATTTATGAAACGATAGACCATCAATAGAAGGCTCAAACTACTTTACTCACTTTTTTCCAAATTACTGACTTAAACCAATATGGACTTACTCCTCACAAACTTTAAACTTTCCAATCACAAACATTACGACTTATGACTAAAGCACCTAGGTACGTGACAAACAAAACCTTACATGCCGTCTTTCTCCTGCCTACAGTTGACCAACACATAAAAACTATTTCACAATAATTTACACGAACATCCTAACATACTAATCAGAGATATGGCTTTAGCTGACATACCCATCAATATGAGGAAGAGTCTAAAAAGGCGCTGGATGAGAGACCATGAATAACCATGGTAATTGATTCAAGCCAGGGAAGAGGTACTGCTGGGTGCTATCCTTCCCCATGCCTGACATATCATTTTCGTTACTTTAATCAGACCATCTGCTGATTGTCAATAGCCATCGACTGGTGCAGATTAATATTAAAAGGTAAAAAAAAATATTATATTTGATTTTTAATTTAAAAATCTTACCTCATTTATAAATAAAAATTTTAATCGATCTTTGATTTATATTTATTCGATTAAAAAAATGACCATTCAATGGTTAATACGGTTTTGCATAAATAATAATGATTAAATTTTGATAAAAAATTGCAAAGCGCGCCTAACGAAGTTTTCATTTCAAAAATTTTGATCTGAAAATAAAAATCACCTTTAACACACAAATTAAATAAAATATTAATATGAATGTATTTGTTACTAATGTACACATTTTTTTTTATTATATGTCTGAAATAGCTTTCGGTACCTGCGCTATATATGTATATATATATATATATATATATATATATATATATATATATATATATATATATATATATATATTCGTAAGCTAAAATTTCTAAAGTAACGATGTTCTGTTGCTAATAGTTGACAAAAATATTATTCACTTACTACTCCAGACTCAAAATATATCATAGAGATTAGAAAAAAAGTTTCGTTTCTAATTTAAAATAGTATTACTCATGAATTATTATAATTTCCTATAATTTTAATTGTAAAAATTTTGTTCAAATGTAATGATCAGGATATTATTTTTATCACTTTCGATCAAAAACAAAAACCGCTCTTAATAGAAATCATCAAATGATTTTTTGAAATTTCAGAAGAAAATTTTGATCAGATTTGATGCTATTTTTTTTTAACTTACGATTTCGAACACTACCTGCTTTTACCGAGTAACAGGAAATAGAAAAGTAATAGAACGAGGATACTAGATGTGACTTAGTGAAATGTGTTGTATTTGCCGTGTATGTAAAATTGAACTGAAAATGTGAATGTAAAAGAAAGACCATTAAAGACGGGATGGTCTATTTGAAGGCAATTATTTTTATCTCCCTTCATTTGAGTGTCCTATAAACCCTAATTATCCATGTTATGGTCTTTGTTGAAGAACTTTATTCATCTAGAAGAACTAAGCATCTTTATTCATAAAAAAAAGTTATAGGTTCACTTTGAAACCCCATACCAGACTGAAACGACTAGAAACCACCCGATGTTTTCGACTACTGCAGAACTTACTAAACAAACGCTCTAAACATTCTACTATTTACAAAAGACTCATCAATATTACTATAATATGGCCTATTTGGACTTACGGGATCGAACTTTCGGACTCTACTAAACCATCAAATTCCTCTTGTATCCAATCCCTACAATCCAAAATCCTTCGTAAAATCCTCAATGCTCCCTACTTTGTCACAAATAAATACGACCTTAATGTAAAATATGTGTATGTTTCTGATTTAGCTCAATCCAGATACCTATCCTTCCATAATAAAGTTCTGAACCATCAGAACCCTCTTGTTTTCAACCTACCTTTCTCTTCTATTGCTGGTAATCCTCCGAGGCGTCTGAAAAGAAGATGGCCTCGAGACCTCCTAATATATAAATATAATTGGAGTGCTACCAACGGGTAGTTTCTCTTCATGTTGTACATGTCATGTTACTTGTTTCATATTTACTTGCTGTATTTATTATTTAATACAGCTGTAAATTTCAATAAAAAAATAAATTAAAAAAAAAACGTTGTAGGTTACGACAAGAAGAAGCCATTCTCGAAGTTTTAGACGGATGTTAATAATTTGATAAAAAGTGGTCTATACTGCGAACTATTAGGAAAACGCTCCAGTGATGGACATAGCTAAGGAAATTATTGTCTTTTTTTTTGCATATTCCGCTGAAATTATAATAGTTATAAACTTCTCCATTGGACATTTAGAATCTCTAGGGTATCCCTTTTCTATTTAACACTTTAAAATTGAAAAAAATATTCTTTTATGGAGGTATAGTCTCTATTAAAAAAAAAAAAAAAACCTGTGATGGACACCCCGTTATTCAATTGTTCTAGTAATAGACAGAGGATCGGTACCAGTAATGGACTTACCTGATGAAAATTCTAAACTCTTTGTTTAACTATAAAGATAAGATAAATATTCAACTTACTCCTAGCAAAACTGTTAGTAAGAAGGTATGAAACTCACTCATCTCAAGAGCACTATAAAAACAACAATGATAGGTATTTTAAAATTTTCTTTTCGGAGCTTTATCATACAGTTGTTAATAGAGGCTATTGTTCTTCAATCTACAAAAAACCTGGAACCTTTAAATCAACAAGGAAGCTTATTATTTACATTTAAAATCCAACCTATCCATCACTGGACCCCTGTCCATAACTGGTGCGTTCACCGTACCTTGGTCTGAAATATATGAGGAAAGTAATACTTCAGGAATATAATGTTGAAGATTTATATTTCGGCCAGAATGATGTCCACTTTAGCGAGAGAGGACAAAGACTGCGGAGGACAGAGGGTGCGAGGCTCCGGGTCATCCAAGAAGAAGAGACTGACAAATGGGGACGGCCCAGCCTCGTTTGAAGAAGCCTCTCCAAGCACTGACAAATCGCAACACACCGTCCACAGCCTAGTTAGCGAGTTTTGTAGGCATAGATCACCGAAATATACCAACTGGCTGCAAACTTGTCAGTTTGTGCCTTGTAGAGGCTTGTGGCGAAAAATAAAACAGCAAATATCAAAACCGTTTGCCTACGATGATGCTATAGTTCCAAGATTTTTGTAATATATCATGGTATTGTAAATAACTAAATTTCTGTTCTATCATTGCTGGAGCACTAGAGCTAAAACATTTCGCAACCGGCGTGTTCTAGATATTACCTAAGCATTTGATAATGTATGGCTCCAGGAATTTCTTTTTAAACTAAATTTGGATAATGCCTTACACACACTATCTCATTCTCCAGTATTTCCCTTTCGATAGATTTTTCTCTGTTCCTTTCCTTGTATTGGCAGGAGTACCTCGAGGATCAATACTGACTCCTTTCCTCTACATTATATATACGCATAGCATGCCTGATGCTACTCCGAAATATAGACAGCTGAAGATGGAACAATTTAAACAAAATACTACAACCCCAAACAAGCTTCAGTGAATTTACAAAATTAGGAGTCAATTTGGAAAATAAAATTAAAATTATAACAAATCACAACATATAATATTTACACTCTGACGATACACGTGTCCACCAATTTACATCGACGAGAACCGGATTCCTCGAACAAATGCAGTACGTTAACATTCGACAGAAGAATGGTCCACACGTCAATAAGAAATAAAATACTTCAAACAGGCGATTGAAAATACTATAATACTTTTTTCGATTTGAGAATTAGACAAAAACTAAATTCATACACATAACTACTTAAATACATTGGGACATACGCCTTACAGGTTCACGGTTCTGAAAAAAATACGAACATAAAAAAACAACAGTCTTTTCAATCGAAATTTATAATCAAAACTAGTAAGAGCAGCTCCCTGGTAAGTAAACAACAGAATTTTACATATCGATTTAAGACATCCGTCTCAACCAGAACACCCCTTACTCTCGATTTCATATTTATTTGGAATAGAATAGAAAATTGAACTTTATTCTGGGATTAAGTCCCCTTAGAATAACAATGATGAATTAGTACAAAATTAAATACAAATCTGGCCAAAAAATAACTTATGAAAATTCTAATATTATACACATTATTTAAAAAGTAGTATGTAACCACTAAAAAATAAACAAACAAAAAATATATATATTTTTTACTTATTACAATAATAAGTAAAATGAACACGAAATCTTCTCAAAATTACTTATTATTGTAATTAAAAAAAAAAAATTACATATTTATATATATACATAACTACACAATTTATAAACAATAGGCTATCTAATAGGAAAATAACATAATACAAAATGTTATAATATGTACAGTGATTTATATAATATAATAATATGCAAACACTAAGATGAAATAAAATATCAGGATTACTTGTAGTGTAAGGTATGCCTGCATCTAAGATGTTTATTTTCATTACTTTTTTTTTAAGATAATTTTAATTCTATTTTATTCATTTATTTTCATTCTATTATTACTGTTATTTATATTTTCTTCCTTCACTATGATATTTTATTTTGTTCATAGCTTTATATTATTTGAAATTAGCTTATTTTTTTAAATTTGTAAATATGGTGTGAATGTGCTCACAGAACTCTATTATAAATTTTCTTTATTGAGACAGATTGTAATATTTATCAATAAACAAATAATCAATTGAACTTGTAGTGTAATGAAAAAAAAAAGAACTATGTATCCATACATACTCATATTGGTACTCTGAGAGACAGAAAGTATAAAATATAAGCATATATGCCATATGTAGAAAGAAAAAGCACGAACTGAGGCGAAGAGAAAAACAAATAAATAGTAAAAATAATAGTCAAACTGGGTGAAACGCCATTCACTTTTCACAAATTCAGTTCATAAAATGAAATAAATTACATAAACATCAGTCGTGCCCGCCTGATCTGCCAATTTATATTAATTTATTATGTATGATTACATTTTATAATTTATTATTAATATAGCATCCGTTGCTTGTTGTTCATTCATTAAAAATCTACGACTTTTAATTAATTGTTTTTGATGAGGGGGTTCAGACATACACACAGACCATTTTCCAAGGCTTGTGAATTAAATGCACTTAGTTGATATCTGAATGTTTAAACTATGAATCATGTTTCCTTGATAAAAAAAAGAGATAATTCTATAATAAAAAATAGAGACATTACAGTTATTTAAAGTAGAACTTTATGAAATCTAGTCCGCACTTATCATATTACTCTACATCAAATTGATTTATTCCCCCGCAGTCAGATCCGGGTCAACTAATAGTCGAGCATGGAAGGAGGCATAAATATATATGTCGTTATAGCATTTGAGGATGTTGGTCGGAGGAAATATGGCGAATAAATCATAAAATTGTGTGAAAAGGAAAGAGCCCCGACCGGGAGATAGGACTCCTTTCCATAATACGCCAATAAATAGGAGGGAGAGGGGGGAGCTCGGAGTTCTATTAGGAGGCATTACATCAAGCGCAGACCTATCACTAAGTGGCTATTAGGAATTGTCCCAGCCTTTTACCCTCCTTTCAGTTCCAGGCCCATGTAAAGTGGGTACTCTTTATTTTTATGGTTGTGTGCCCGGGTTCCTGAGTCGGCGCTCTATAAAGTTGGCCCTAGGTTCTGCGGGTGTCAAGAGATCCTTAGAGCAGGAAGTAATGGGTCAGTTATCTTAGTCCCAAGTCATCGCATTAGGACCTACGTATCACAGGTCGGCTGAACATGCAGAATATCGTTAATCCTTTGGAACAATGGCGTAACTGCTAACCATATTATTTCATAAAAGAGGAAAAATAATTAGAATTATTATTATATTAATTAGTAATTTTTAAAATTAAACTATGTAGGTCTTGAGATCTAGACCACGTAGATCTTTGTCAGGGCGATTCCGTCTTCTTACAGATGAACATTTGTTGCGGGAGCACAGATGGTGTGGAGGGGATCTCCTAATCTTATAAGAATAGTGAATAATCGGTCTAGACCTTGTTAACCCCGCATACTTCCAGATCTATATTTTTTTCTCTCATCATATTTCCCTTTTAAATGTTAATGAAGAAAATGTTTATTTATTTTTTTTTGTAAAAATTGAGGGACAATTGTCTCAGAAATATATTTGTGTTTGTATATCTGCCTTCGTTTGCGATGTATTATCGCTCATTTGTATACACACCAGCCCGGCAGTAATACCCAGTCTTAGGGATTAAGACACAAATAATGCCATAATACTGTCGGGATGCAGTCTTAGGCCAGTCTGGAGATAGCTCTTGTCGACATTAGACCCATGTAGTGGAAGTCTACCCCCACCAATCTCACCAAGCTCCAGGCCTCTGATCTCGCAACATCTCACCTAGCGCCATTTTCGAGGATCAGCTGTAGGGCGCAGCTGAGTAATCGATACATATCGATACGACCCCACCATCGATTACTCGACAGCTGGAGATCGGAAGGTAACAGGTTGGAGGCAGAACCTCCAACTTGGCTTGTTGTGTTTTTTATTCTCACCAAGACATTTGAACATTTAGTTAACTGTTTTCTTCCCTAAATTTGTTTTATTCTTTTGGGAATTCTCTTGTTTTATTTACAATTTTAGAAATTGATTTTTTTCCTTTATTGATAATGGTTAATTTCTTTTATTTTCTCTGGATGTTGTATTTTTCTCGTAGCTTTTAAGTATTGTTTATCTCAACTTTTATATAAATTTATATCTCTTTTTCTTTCTCAATAAATTGTAAACATTCAAAAGGGGATTTTTTTTATTTTCCATTTTTTTATTTATTGAAATATCTCTATTTTTTAAATATTTTCTTGTGCATGTATTTGTTTTTTTCTCTAATGTTTTATAGGTCTCATTATTCACTCATTTTTTTTCTCCTTCTTTCCCAACGTTTTTTAATTTTTCTCGAATTTTCCCACCATTGAGGAAACGCACCGTGGAAAGATTTGTACTTCGATTTTGAAGTACCCCTGGCCCCAACAGACCTAGTAGAAACCTTGGAAAAATCATATCGATATTTTCGATTAAAGTAAACAGAATTACGGTCATTACTCCTGCGCCTGGTTTGTGCGAGTTGCCTCTAGTAGGCCGACAGGCCTCACAAAGGAGGAATCTCGTGCAGTTTGGTTTTTTTCTCGGTGGACGATCCCTCTCTTCGGCAGGTCCTATCCAATTACTTAAAACGCTCGACGTTGCCGTACTGTACCTATGCAAGCGCCTTAGTAAAATCATCCGAATATTTCCATCCGACCCTCTTTACAATTGGTAGAATTTTCTATACCACTGACTGAGTTACGAAAGAAGCACTGGGATCTGATTGATTCTTTTTTTTTTCCATAGTTGGATTTCCTACTGTGGTTGTTATACTTTTTATTATATTTTAGTGTTAATTGACTGACTTTAATTAGATGTATAAAAAAAATTACCGTTTTCAACTAATACCTTAAAATGACGAGAATTTCGTAGGGAACTGTCGCGTTTCTTCTTTGAAACAAATAACTAATCTGAATTTTTTTTTTAAGAAGTCGAATGGGACTAAACAAGCAAAGCATAGAATGCTCTAAAGGGATTATTAAGTATTGGTGAATATTAAATAGGATTAAAATATTTACAGATCTTTGAAAACTTTAATTTAATGTAACGCCTTTTTTTTTTATGTACACCCCATTAAATAGTATATTTAATTATTTAGGAATTTTATTTCACACGTTCCTGGAAAGTGTGATTTTTGTATTCAGCCGAATCGTGAACAATTACAGAGAATCATTCAAAAAGAATGCCAGACTTAGAAATGGACTATTGAAGGCGATCATGTGGTGTCTCTCGCCTTCTAAAAGTTCCAAACAATGAAACGAGTGGAACAAATGGAGAACATACTCCATACCATTCAAACTATGAGGCTGGAGTGGTATTTCCATGTGATGTGGATGGAAGACGGAATTAGCCCAAGTGAATTTGGGATTGGAAACCGGAAAGAAGACGGAAGAAAGATCGTCCGAGGAGGACCTGGTATGAGAGAGTTTAGTAAGAGATGACGAACAGGGTATGCGTGAAAAACTATTTATTTTTCCTAGTTATATATGTTTTAATTTTTCGTAATTGGATCGCTGTAATGTAACAACAATTGTCCTAGATGTATTATAACTGGTTTGAATTTTCGTGGAAAAGTGGGACTCTGGCGGGGAACTAGACCTGTTAATTAAAACTCGATAGGGCAGCCTCGCTGAAGGGGCGCCGAACCCAAACTCCACCACTCCGCCATGAAGAAGCCGTTTGGAATATTCCAAGTCGCAGGTGATTACACCCCCCAATGGCCTCTCTTTGATTGGGCTTCGGCCTCTCCTAATGGGCTCGCCCATGTTTTCAATCTCCGACCACTCCAATCTGTGCAGATATTCCATCTCATAAAATATCCTGAATAAAACATAATGGATCATCTATATAGCTCTTGATTGACGGCTGCAGTTGAACGTCTGTTCGCCATGTAAATATATGAATTTGCCTACCTTAAATAATAACACTAAAATGAAAAGAAAAAAAGATTTAAAAAAAAAATTAAATTAATGGTGGAAAATAAGTCAAATGTTTTTTTTCAGAACTTAGTTTTTTATTGAAGAAAAATAACACAATATGCCACAATCCAGAGCATTGAGCATTATGGCTCTATGTTTACATTCATTCATTTTAAAATATAAATTGAGAAAAAAAAATAAAATAAGAAGAATATATTAAAAATGTATACATTACAATAAAAGAAGAAAACAACTTGTAAAAAGAGAAAAAAAAATACATTCAAAGAATAGTAAAGAAAGAAAAAAAAAATTTTTTTTATTTATTTACATCCCTGCCGTGCCTGATAGGCAATACGGGTTTTAGCAGCAGTGAGATGTTAAGCGTTTCCGCGTAACAACACACTGCTGCTAGAAAAACAATATTTATAGACTGGGTCCATATTTCAACTACATTTCTTCTAAGTTTGGTCACGGATTTCTTCTGCTACTCCGTCCGGCGGCCTTCCAGGCGGTGCAGCTCCTCTTCTTCCCAAGTAGAAATGAGTTGGGCCTATAATGGATTTCCATTTTGCAATGAAATCTATAAAATGAGGATAGTTTTCCTCACTCATGAGTTGAGGGAGCTCCCTTTCAGTCAAAATGTAGAGACCGGTTTCCCTGAGCAGTTTTGCTCTCTGTGCCTCATAGGCAGTACATGCTACGACAATGTGCTCGGCAGTCTCTGGGACTCCGCAACTGGGGCACAAGGGGTCGATATTCTTTCCAAATTGGAAGAGCTTTGCTCGGAAGCCCCCGTGTCCAGTGAGTAGTTGGGAGACCCAATAACCAGGTTCCACCCATTTTGCTGCTAACCGGGAACCGATGGTGGGAAAATATTTTCTAAGAGTACTTCCTTTCGGAGTTGTTACCCATCGCTGGTTCCATTCGTCAAGGGTGTACTCTTGTATTATCTTTTTCCATCTACCTGGCTGTTGGTTAATCTTCTCACGGAGATTTTCTGGTAGACCTGCCGAGCCTTCTCTTGAAAGCTGGTGCTTTAACATGTCTTCCTGCAACAGGAGGTCGAGAGGAACACCTCCTGCCAGGACCTGTACTGCCTCATGAGACACTGTCTTGAAAGCTCTGGTGACGCGCAGCAGAGCCGTCCGCTGAATCGAAGCCAACCTCCTCTTCTGGTGGTGCGAGAGATGCAGAAACCAACCTGGGGACGCGTACCTCAGAATACCCAGAACTACACCTTTATAAATTGTCTTAGTCGCTGGGTATCTGAGGCCCCAAAATGCACCCCCGATACGACTGAGTCCATTAAGCGCTAGGGTCACCCTACTTCTCAAATAGTCCAAGTGAGGTGACACGTTGAAATTTCTTCCTATTCTGACTCCGAGGTAGGTGACAACCTCACTCGGACGAATTCTCGATCCTTGGATTATCATTGTAATAGGGTGAGCCCTATCAGTCTTGCCTTTCAAGAGGATAGCCTGTGTTTTAGCAGCTGACATCCGCAGTTTCTTCATCTCGCACCATCTTTCTATCAGGTTGGCGCACCGCTCAGCTTCTTCTTTCAACCTGGCTCTGCTGTTCGACGCCACCACAACGGCTAAATCATCCACAAAAGCTGTGGCGGAGAACTGCTCTTCTTCGAGCACACCCAGCAACTCGTCGAAGACAAGTTTCCACAGAGCAGGGCCAAGGACAGAGCCCTGTGGACAGCCTTTCTCCATACTATCTTCTACTTCGTAGAAATTACCTCTTATTCGGAGCGTTCTATCCTGGAGATAACTTCTCATCAAAATGTACAAGTTGCTAGGAGTCTCGTATTTCTGCAGCTGCTGGAGTACACTTGGCCACCATACGCTATCGAAGGCGGAGGTGATGTCAAACAAGAGGAGCATGACATACTTCTCCGCCTTCTCTTCAACGTCATGGCGTACTCTCAGCAGGGCATCTGCAGTTCCCCTGCCTTTGGTACATCCATACTGCCGTGGATGGGAAGCTCTCGAAAAAATAGGCTGTAGGCTCGTGACCATCATGTTCTCCAACACCTTACTCATAACAGGGAGGAGACAGATAGGCCTATAAGACTTTGCCATTTGTTTATCCTTGTCACCTCCCTTGTAAATAAGTCTGAGATCGGCAATTTTCCACTTTTTTGGGAAGTAGCCCCTATCTAAGCAATCATTGAATATTGCCAGGAGTTGATCTTCAATGTAGGGAATACTATTTCGGAGGATTGCCGTATCAATATTGTCAATACCTGGGGCACGACCAAGCCTTTGTCTATCCACGGCAGTACGGAGATCCCATATGTCCCAGGGTGGGCACAAGTCTGTACCGGGTGGGCATACCGTAGTGCGTCTAATAAACGCGTCTCTCTCGTCATCTTGGGATGGATCATCTCTGGGGAAGGTCTCTATAATGAAATTTTTCGCCGTCTCCTCCAGAGTGGTCGCCTGGGCATCGCCGCTCTTCATTGCAGCAATCACCTGTTGTGGACTCATCTTAGCCAGGGCCACTCTGTAAGGGATACCCCAGGGGTTCTTGGATGACTCCTCGACGATAAACTCGTCCCAAGACTTCCGCTTTAGTGACCGCACTTCGTTTCGGTATGTCCTGGCCTTAGACTTGTACTCGTCACGAAGTGTAGTGCGCCTCTCGTCACAACTACACCTCTGGTACGACCGCCGTGCCTTGTAGAGTTCTCTCTTCATAATAGTGAGGGCCGGCGTCCACCATGGGACTGGTCGAGCTCTTGCCTTCCGGTGCTGGAGGGTTTCCTCTGCAGCATCACAGATGATATCTGTTATCCTGGAGACTCTGTAATCTAGGTCATCAGTCAGATCCGTCTCCGCCGCATCCCATTCATTGTCAACGAGTTTTCCCTCTAACGTGGACCGGAAGGCACTCCAGTTTCCTCTTTTTGTAATATAGCCTTTAGTTATGCCGTGGGAACTTGTAAGTGTCGCATTTTCTACGACACTAAACACTATTGAGTGATGGTCGGAACTCGTATCAGATCCGAGGGCCCAATCGGTGATGCGGTTAGCCAGCTGCGGTGATGCCAGAGTCACATCAATCCAACTCTGTCCCCTAGCACTAGAGAATGTAGGGATGGCAGAAGGATCGTTAATTACTACTAGCTGACTCCTAGATATGAAATCACCGAGCTTAGTACCCCTTCTATTTGTTCGATTGGATCCCCAAACCGTGTTCCAGGAGTTGGTATCTGAGCATATGATCACGTTTCGAGAACAAGCTGTGATCATCTCCATGGCGGATATGTCTTCGTTAATATCATTTCCATCAGGTAGGTAAGCCGATACAAGCGTAAAAGTAACGTTACTCCACCTGATGAAGCAAGCGACATTATCCGGCGTGGTGTACTGCCTCAGATCCATCACATCGAGGTTTGGGTTATTGACCACTATGGCAGCCCTGGGCCTCCTCTCTCCACTGCTCAGGGCGATAACCCTCGATGCGAGGCCGAACCCCGTGACCATGTTCCCACGGCAGCATGGTTCTTGGACCGCCATGACGTCGAATCGCTGGGAGAGAGCTCGAAGTTCATCTGCCACGATGCGTCGGCGGCCCATATTCAGTTGGAGGATGGTGATTCTATTCATAAAAAGTCTTTTTTGCCACCTCCTTGGCCCACTTTAAGTGCACAGGGCATTCACGACTGCCTGCCTTATGCTTCCGTTGGCTAGATGGGACATTGGCCCGCTCGCAGTTTATACAGGTCGGACCAGTCAACTCTTTTTTTTGGGGGCAGTCCTTAAGCATGTGGCCAATAGTTGCACACCAGATACAGACTACGCCATCTACTGGGCAAGTTGCTTTAGTATGACCGTAGCCCTGACACTTAGTGCACCGTGGAGCGTCGATGTAGTCTTTAAAGGACATCGACCACCATCCTCCATCTAAGCTGGCTGTCTCTAAGAGTATAAATCTAACCATTGGATGAACTTCGATCACCCAATTCTTAGTAAAACCATTCCTTGCTATTGAAGAGAAAAGAGGCCGAATGTCATCAGGAACAAGTGTTGTGGCGCCCGATTTTTCAGATATTCTTCCCCATAGAAATTCCAACAGCTGCATAGATGTCCAGCTTTGAGGCACACCTTTTACTTCCATCTTGGGCTTCTTCTTCATAGCAAGTTTTGCTTGAAGTCCTTTTTCACGCAGCCCCTGCCACCCGATTACTTTGGTGGCTTCGGACCTATCATCCATGCGAACCAAGACAGAGCCTGCCTTTGTCGCTCGGACTATGGACGCCTTCACACCTATTTCATCCGGCGATGGCAAGCCATTAATAATGTCTACCGGAGTTTTGCCTACTCCGCTGATAGTGACATATGTAGGTCTTGGCGTTTGAGTCGGTTTAGCTGGCAATGATTTAACTATTTCCGCTATTGATTTTGGTTTTGTACCTTGTTTGTCGATTGGATTTTCCTTTGCATCAGGCTCTTTTTTGCTGGTAGCGTTGTTTCTCTTCTTTTTCCTTTTACTTACCACCACCGTGAAGGATTCAGAGGCAGCTGAGGGTCCAGCCTGATTAATGTTTTTTTCGGCTTGTGTCTGAGGTTCCTTCGAACGTTTAGGTTCTTGGTGAGGTGCTCCAATTGACGTGGTGAGTGTATCGGTATATTTTTGCGGAGATTTATCTACTAAAATTTGTTTCAATACATCATGCACCTTCTGTGACGAAAGCGTGTCCAAAATAGCCTTTTGAACTATGGCCGAGACTCCAACTTGTTCTTTTTCCTTTTCCTGATTTTCAATAATATCAACAAGGCATTGTACCTTGATATTAATCTGGTCTCGGACACTAGAGCTTAATTTTTTTCCAT